TCTGACCTCAAGCTTCTAAGAGTTGAAACGCTGAAACTGTCCATTTTTTGTAATTTTGCCTGAGGAAATATTTGTTCAGTGACTCAAAAAGTACAACATATTAAAAATTCAGCCATTTTCACCGGGGCCCAAAATCACGTGGTTTAGTGCGGGGTCCTTTGTCCCGCTTTAGAAAATATTCTTTCACATGGGACCGAAGTAGCAGGGATGCTTTTGAGCATTATTTTATATAAATTTGGGTATAGATTTTTTCTTGCTTCCCACCAAATTAGAGGATCGTTTGTCCTGGTAATGTGGAGTTTGGCTAAAAATTTGTCTAACTATAATTGCTGCAGTAGAGGGATTGTGCATTCCTTGAAGGTGGCTTATTGTGATATCAAATTCTTCCCAAACTGAGATTGTCGAAGATGTCGTCAAAAGAGGTTGGACTGGTTGGGAATGTTGGGACAAAGACTGTGGAGATTCTTGGTTATTGCAAGCTCTAATTTTCGCTATTAGATTCTGATATGTTGCCTGAAACTTGTTTTCATCTCCGAAGCCCCGCTTTTTAAATCTGGGATCTAAGAAAATCGATTGGGCAATTAAATAATTTCCTTCTTTTCCCCCAAATCGGTTTGCCAAACCTTCTATTAATTTCTCCCCTACATTTTTATCATTGATGGTAACGTATTATTCTCTAAATATGTTTTCACTTTTCTGATCATTACTCTAGAGAGAGTCTTTGATAGAGAAACATTTTTTTCTGGCGATACTTTCATCGTAATTTCGTTAAATGTTCGTAGTATATTTATACAGTGCTTCATTAGGTTTCAGTCCTCTGGTTGCAAAGTATTCTTATACCCTAACAATGCCAAAGCAGAAATAATAGGTTCCTTATTTAAAAAAAAACGATCAAACATCAAAAGTAGAGTTCCATCGAGTAGATACATCTTGTTTTAATTTTAAATGATCTTTATTTAAATTATTTTGCATCTCATGCAGTTTTGCCAAAGTGAAGCTACTTTGTTTGAAATATTGTACAATACTTTTGGTCTTTTCGACTAAATCTTTAATGTTTTTGTTAATAGCATCTTGTGCAACGAGATTGTGAGTGAATGGGCAAAACAAGAAACATGTCTTAATTTTAAAATATTAACAGCAGATTTTATACTAGCTTTGCGCGTTGTCTGTCACTATTGCACAAATTTTAAAATCTATATTGAATTTTTTTAAGACTGTGTTAATCCATTCAGAAATATTTAAACCAGTATGCCTATCACTAAATTCTGAACATTCTAACAAATATGATTTAAGACATGTATTTGAATCCAAATAATGAGCAGTAAGAGCATAAAAACTGATATTATTAATATTTATCCAACTGTCGCACGTTAAACAGACGGCTTGTGAGTCGGCTAATTGGCTAGTTAATTTATTTAAACTCTCACTATATATGGAAGGCAATAAAGAATTGGACAATGTTTTACGACTAGGTAAACTATAACTAGGGCACAAAAATTTGATAAACTTCCTAAATTCTTCATCTTTTACTATTAAAAATGGATGAAACTCTTTGCATATCATTACTAATAATTGAGTGTCAATAGATTTACTTTTACTTAACGGTATAGGTTTAATAATATCGACAAATCCGTTTATTGAATACTGCGGCTGAACTAAATTTGAGGGTGAAGAAGTAACAGGGTTAATTGAAGATGAAAATTCAAATCTTGATTATGAAGATCCAGGAATTGGAATAGGGGCAATAGGGCATGATCTAGCGCTGCGAGGTCTAGGATTAGATGAATCTGGCTGGGAAATAATCGTTTGTATTTCGGAATTTTTACTAGATCCAGTTGAAACCGAAGGAGATCGCGAACGACAATCTGCTGAATCATATGAATCTTCTCGTAAGAATAGTACAGCGGGATGCTTATTTTTCAAATGCCTCTTGAGATTTCCAGTAGATGATCCTCCAGGCATCGATATCGTCATATAACAATAACGACATCGTCCTTTTCCATCTGTTTTAGCAAAATGATACCAAATATTGCTAGTGCCTCGAGGCAAAGACATTTTAATCTAAAAAAATTTATTAGAAAATAAAACATCATTGATTAATATTATAATTATCATAAAACTAATATCTTTTAGAATTTATACTAAATATTTTAGAAAAATATACATAGATATAATGGTGCAAATTATAATTCTAACCTAAAATTGCCAGTTGCATACTTATATTATTTATATATACTTACTTATATACTTGATTTAGATGTAAAAGAACAAACAAACAGTTGTTATTCAGTGGATGAAACTAGTGAGTTGTCGAGTCAAAATCAAAATAAAATGCCAGAAAAGAGAGCGGAAACTGTTCTGAATAGTTCTGAACTGATTTAAGAGAACGATATAAGAAATGGGCGGGAATCATCCCCTCAGTTCAGGATAGGTCCAGCGTATGGACTTATGCATATAAGACGCGTCGACGCGTTACGCACGGCAAGAGGCGACGCGATAGCCAATAAAAAATTGGATCAATTTTGACGCGCGGAAGTTTTTATGAAAATGCGGCAATTTGATTGGCTATCGTGTCGTCTCTCGACACATGTAGTGTCTTTAGGGACACCAGACACCATAGTTATGCGTAACTTCAATGCGTTTCTGTGGACTTAGAGAGAAACCTATAGAATCGAATTACCGAAAATTCCGGTAGAGTGCACTACTACTACTGAACCAAGGAATCGCGATTCTTTTTCTATAGACCCGTTTCCGAGCGCTCATTGATGTGAACCGATTCAACTGAACGGTTCGCGAACCATCTGCTCATCTCTAATCCAACTCACTCATATACATTTATTATAACAATAATGTTTAGACATGCATAAATCGTCGACATCGTATTTATCCGCTTTTTACAATATACTAATATATGTAACACTATCTATATTTAGACATTCGCCTATCGTTTTGAAATATTAATTCAAACTTTCAAATAAAATTTATCTAAATAGAATAATATGTATTTATATCACTAAATTTTGGGCCTATTGTTATGTAAGATTTTATTTATAAGACGCGTTAATTTTATTTTAAATTTAATTCTGAAGCGGTGATTGGCTCTGTCCTCTAGTGAAAAAGTCTCCGCGGAACTACGCGCGAGTGTACACTCTCATCACTGCGTCACTAGTTATATTCTATGTTTTTAGTTTGTTTAATGTGCGTACGCGCCAAAAGCACGCACTTAGTCTCTCTCCGCCGTTCTGATCTGTATAACAACGTGTTCTAATGAGAAGATTCCTACAGTATGTTATAATTAACCTATCGTTAATTATAACATACAATATTTTAATATAAAATAATCTACATTTATAATATCCTATTTAAGTATTCACTTTTCATTAATTGACTAACTATCAAAGATTATCTATTATACATTATAGGATTTTACAATTGGTCTAATACTGGTCAAAAATTGGTTACCAGGTTACTTATATTGGCGCGATAATAGCAACCATAACTGGCCTATCAATGGGAATATTATGGAATGATAACTTCGATTCGATAAAGGATAACTATACGCGGCCAAACATGGTGAACAATGTTGAGCCATTAATGGTTTATCGTAGGGGATTTGTTTTCGTTTTCAACTGTGAAAAATGATTCTACTGTATTTAATTGTTCTTCCACGGCATCTTTAAATAATATGACTGATTCTTCATTATAACATGCGTCATCTGTACTTCTCACATTGTCTAAGGGTGCGTTCCGTTTCACGCATAATGCGCATAGACTGCATAAAGAACCGTTCCGTTTCACTCAATGCGCGCATTGATAGCGCACAGAATTCCCTATATCCCCACCACTTCTCACGCATCAACGTGCATCAGCTACCACAGCTCGGGCGTGAAGCGTTTGATGCGGAGTTGATGCATCAACAGAAAAGGCGCCTTTTTTATTCAAGTGTGCACAATGGCATTGGTCGAAGTCCCAGTCATTGATGAAAATAATGAAGTTTTTACTCTTATACTGGATCAAGAAACTGCTGCAAAGGCAAATCAAGGTATTAAATTATGTACAATCAGTATATACTTATAAAATATAATTCTATAACCTAAAAGTAATGAAAGTATATAATTTTACAGATCCACAGTTTTTGCAAGATATCTTTATTAAATGGAAAGAAAATAAATGTAATACTGAGGGACTTAATAATGGAAATAAAGATGTATTGTGTGTGCCTGAAATTAACACCACTGAAGAACCTGGTAATTTTTATAATTTAACATTTTGTTAAACAGTAATAAGTAGTTTAATTAATCTTTATTTAAAAGAACACCGTAAAACGTTTCAGCCCTGATTGGGCCCTCTTTAGTTACATTAATTAATATTGTCATGCTTTGTAAATTTTAAATAATTATGTCCTGTACGCCATATGTATATAATTTATCGATCCTTTGTTTGATCATTGTTATTTCAATGCCTTGCTGTTCATCTGACGCTCAGAGACCTTCTGTTTCTGTTGGATGGCATCCAAAGGAGACACGACAGAAACAGAACGTCTCTGAGCGTCAGATAAACAGCAAGGCATTGAAATAACAATGATCAAACAAAGAATCGATAAATTATATACATATGGCGTACAGGACATAATTATTTAAAATTTACAAAGCATGACAATATTAATTAATGTAACTGAAGAGGGCCCAATCAGGGCTGAAACGTTTTACGGTGTTCTTTTAAATAAAGATTAATTAAACACGCTACAATAACAGCGATTGGCTCAAGAGCTCATTTATTTTCCTATAATTTTGTTAAACAGTATAGATTTGTAATAAAATTTACTTTATGACTTGAATAAAATTTTAGATGAATCCAATTCAAAATCTTTTGTGTGGCCTGACGCTGCAGTACTTTTGCTTGTTAAATTATATAGAGAAAGAGAGCAAGAATTTAATACCGGCATGAAAAGACACAATATCATTTGGGGAGAGATTGCTGCCCAAATAAAAGAACTGACAAAAAGTATATAGTTACTGGTCTTCAATGCTCAACAAAATTTGCTGGCCTCAAACGGACATATAAAAATATATATGAGCAGAATAAAAAAAGTGGTAACTCCCACAGTAGTTGGGCTTTTTATTCAGTAAGTATATGCATATGTGTTTGCAAGTATAATAATATAATATTGAATGTATAGACTTACAAAACTGATTTTGTATTTGTAGGTAATGGATTCATTACTTGGTGAAAAGGCATATATACAACCTCCAGCTGAAGCGTCCAGCGAAGGTCCATCACAACCGATACTATCTACATCAGGATCTTTATCTCCAGCGAGTTTCTCAGAGGATTTACGAAGTAATAACATAATTAATAAACCATAGTTGCTTTGGCGACAGAACCAAAATGATTCACAATCAGATTAAAATAATCCGTGCGTGTCAATCCGTGATTGAAATCTGAAATTTCATTGATTGTTATAATGAAATTTCAGATTTGACCAATCACAGTACATGGATTATTTTAATCTAGATCATTTTGATTCTGTCGCCAAAGCAGCCCACGACTGAAGGCATTTTCAGTGTTATGCATGGTCTACAATAACAGCAAGAGTACAGAGTACAAGAATAAGCAGTAAGAAGTACGAAATGGGATTTGTTCATTTCGTTACTCCCGACGAAATGAGCGAATCCCACTTCGTACTGCTTACTGCTTTACTCTTGTACTCGTACTCTTACTACCATTGTAGACCCCGCATTATACATAATCTTGTAAACATTTGTATTAATATTGCAGGTGCGCCTAAAAAAAGACGAGTTGAGAATATTCTAAAAAATTATATTGATAATATAAAGCAAGAAAGGGAGACTACAAAAAAAGAGCGAGATGAAGAAAGAAAGAAAAAAGAAGAAATTAGAGAAGCAAAATATGAAGAAAAGAAGAGAGAGCGTGAAAAAATGCATCAAGATAACATGGAGGTACAGAAATCACTACTTGCCGTCCTGCAGAATTTTGCAAATAAAAAGTAAGTTAATCGAAACGATTAACGTTAGTGCAATACACTGTGATATTAAGGGTGCAATTTAATCAGCAGAATAATTAAATTTTTTTCCATTATATATAAGAAATACGCAAACCAACCTGGGCGAGGCTGGATTAAGATGCGCGAAAAATGTGCCTGATAGAGTCATATTTAAATGCACAGGGTATTACTTATTAATTCTCGCCCACTAAATAGATAGCGTTATTTCTTATCAAAAATAAGTTGAAAAGTCCTGAATAATTTTAAATAAAATAATAATTTGAATAATTTTTAATAATTTTATAAACCCGGCGCTGTTTGATCGTACTTTACTCAATAATTACTAGTTCATTAAGTGTAAAAATTCTTTAGGACTTTTCAACTTATTTTTGGTAAGGAATAACGCTATGTACTTAGTGGACGAGAATTGTACGCTTTTGAGAAGACTGAAATAAAAAGTTATTAAATTCGTTATATTACCACGGTGATTTTTAGTTATAAGCTTATTAGTTTAATAGTTTATAGTTTATTAGTTTAATTATTGGGTCTGTTTTTTGTTCCAGAACTGCTGCATAGTTCAGAGGTTGTCTTTTGCTCGACACTGATAAGAAAAGGACAACCTCTAAACTAGTGCAGCAGTTCAGGAACAAAAACAGACCCATTACCTCGTATGTCCACCGAAAGAACCAAAGATAAGATCTCTCCCATGCACGCGCGCGCGTGCACAGAGAGGGAGAGAGAGCATACTACAGTTTTTATGTGTTAAATTGTACGAAATATGTTATTATTTTAACGGGTGCATCCCGATTTCAGATGTACAATTCTAAAAAAGAATAAAAAGTATTTTTTACTTATATATTTTTTCTCCCGACTGCTGCCAACCGTAGGTTGGCGAAAAGAGAGGAAGTATGCGTTTCATCGAGCCCGGATCGGTCGTGACCTTAATTCTCGATAACTACTGCATAGTTTTATATCAACTTTGGAACATAAGTTTCTTATTAATCAAGGAAGGTTTAAAGCGTATTATTATCGTTATTTATTCTATTAATAAAAAGTGAAAAATGAGTATTATTTCGTCAATACGGTCTCTCATTGGCTGCTGTGTGAACCTAAGAGGAAAAATGATTCACCAATGAGATTCGTTGTAGTATCCGGATAGGGAATGTTGGTGACATTGGTATATACATCTCGAAGTAATAATGACGGGACTGATAGGATAGGTTAGCTGTCACCTGTTGCGTGTTATTGTCAACAACAATATTAAGTGAAGTGTATTATTATGGATATATCTCAAGAAGATATAAATAAAGGAGTAAGTTTCTTCTTTTATATTTATTGTTTTTTTCTTTATTTAGAATATTGTTATTATTATTTATTTATTGTTTCTTTATTTATATGTAGGAAGAAGATACTCGCTTGAAGATATCTGAAGAAGAAAACATTATTAATAATAGAAAACGAGTAAGTCTTGTTATTAATAATTAATAAAAATATATATATAATTAATAATATAATTAATCTGTTGTAGTCATAACATGGCTATATGAATTTATATTTGTCTGCGTAGCCACTTATTTGCTATTAAATTTGCTACGTAGCCACATTGCTATAAATATCCACATATATAATTGTATAAATGTATATAGTTATTTTTTCTCTTATTTGTATATTATATAATAATTATATAATTAATTAAAATATGTATACAAATATATTTATAGTTATACAAAGATATTAGCGCACCAATAATTATGGCAATGCAGACAAATATATTAACTTACATAGCCAATTATCTACTACAAAAGATTATTCACATATGTAATAATAATTAAGGCTATACAATATATAAACTTACTTGTGATTACATAATGTATAAACTTATATAGCCATAAGAAAGTTATATATTTGTCAAAGCCATAATTAATAACTGCGTACAAGTTTACGTATTTGATATAAGATATTGTTGTCATCTGTCTTTGTCATCTGTCTCTCTCTATCTATCAATCTATCTATCTAGCTATTTTTTTTTATTTATCTCTCTATTTATATTATATTATATTAATTAAAAAAATTGTAGCAGAAAAATATTTGAAAGAATATAGAACATTGCAGTCACATGGTGAGTGTATGTGTGTCTTTATTATTATTATTATTATTTATATACATTGTAATATATATATTACATAATAAAAACTTTTACATGTGTAGGATGAAGAAGCAGAGAGACAAAAGAATGAAGAAACAGCATAAGAACAGCAATAAATTAGAAAATAAATAAAAAAAAAAAAATAAAAAAATTAGAAAATAAAAAAAAAAAATAAAACAATAAAAAAAAAATAAAAAAAATAAAAAACAATTAGAAAATAAATAATAAAAATAAATTAGAAAAAAAAAAATTAGAAAATAAAAAATAAATTAGAAAATAAAAAATTTAGAAATAATAATAAAATTTTTTACAAAAAAAAAACTCCCGACTGCTGCCAACAAAGTTTTAATGTTTAAATTAAAAATAATGTTTAAATTAGAAAATAAATAAAAAAAAATAAAAAAAATTAGAATATAAAATAAAAAAATAAAAAACAATTAGAAATAAATAAAAATAAAAACAAAACAAAAATTAAAAATAATAAAAGAACAAAAAAATTATAAGTATAAAAAATAAGCTTGTAAAAGTTGAAATAATCACACATAAATAAAGTCTGTTGTTTATTATATAATTTTTCTTATTTAAATTTATTGTTATCATACATTTTTAGCGCTATATTTTACAAAAATTTCAGATTTTTGAATTCAAAAAATTTTTTTAATTATAATTATTATTATTAATTCTACAATTTACAAGAGCAGTCGGGAGACGCCGCGCTAAATTTGAGACATATACGCACGCGCACGTTTTATGTAATAAATAGACACAAACACAAATATCGATACTCAACGGACGTTACAGTTTTTAGACGCGCGGCGTCTCCCGACTGCTGCTCTTGTAAATTGTAGAATTAATAATAATAATTATAATTAAAAAAATTTTTTGAATTCAAAAATCTGAAATTTTTGTAAATATATAGCGCTAAATATGTATGATAACAATAAATTTAAATAAGAAAAATTATATAATAAACAACAGACTTTATTTATGTGTGATTATTTCCAACTTTTACAAGCTTATTTTTTATACTTATAATTTTTTTTTCTTTTATTATTTTAATTTTTGTTTTGTTTTTTATTTTTTATTTATTTCTAATTGTTTTTTTATTTTTTATTTTTATTTTCTAATTTTTTTATTATTTTTTTTTTATTTATTTTCTAATTTAAACATTATTTTTTAATTTAAACATTAAAACTTTGTTTGGCAGCAGTCGGGGAGTTTTTTTTTTGAAAAAATTTATTATTATTTTCTATTTTTTAATTTTCTAATTTATTTTTTATTTTCTAATTTTTTTTTTTTCTAATTTATTTTTATATTTATTTTCTATTGTTTTTATTTTTAATTTTTTTTTTTTAATTGTGGTTTTTTTTTTTTATTTTTTTATTTGTTATTTTCTAATTTCTTTTATATTTTTTTT